GAGATGGGTAGGTGGATGGATGGGTGGGCGGATGGATGGATGGACAGACGGATGGTCTGGAGAGTTACTTAGAACAGAAGGCTGAAGCCCAAGGGAGTGCAAAGACAGACTGCAGACTCTGGACTTCCTACATGGAATGGAAGGGAGAGCAAGAGAAATGAGTGAAGGATTCTGCAAACAAAGGGGGTTGAAAAGGACATGGGGAAACTGGAAAATGCTGTAAATGCTGTCATGTAAGCCAAAAGGGGGATTCAGGAAGAAAGAGATTGAAGTTTGGGTCAAATTCTGTAGAAATCAAGGAAAAAGTAACCCAGAAAATACATTCAGATATACAACTAAGAGGCCAGTATGAGAAAAGGTTGTTTCTGAATTTGAGTGTAGTGATGGTGACACAGGCCAGATTTCAGAAGATATGGGCCAAGGGGCAGTGAGTCAACACCGAGGAAGTTATGACACTGGGCACACACCTCCTTACAGAAGTTTGGTCTCCACGGAAAGCATCACTGAATTCACCAGTACCTGATTCTGCTCCCCTTCCCAGCATGTGGAAGATGGTTTCTCAGTGCACCTGCTCTTCTGTGGGCACGAAGAGGCAACATATTCTTGTGAGGCCACCCAGAGGGAGGGGCTGTTTGTCATCATAATCTAGCCCTATCCTGGTTTACAGAGAGACAACAGGAAGACAAGTAGAAAAGAGAACAGCAAAGTCGAGGAAGGGATGTATTCTGGCCTTTGATTTTTCTTTTTTTTTAAAGATTTTATTTATCTATTTGACAGACAAGAGATCACAAGTTGACAGAGGGGCAGGCAGAGAGAGAGAGGGAAGCAGGCTCCCCCCTGAGCAGAGAGCCTGATGTGGGGCTCGATCCCAGGACCCCGAGGTCATGACCTGAGCAGAAAGCAGAAGCTTAATCCACTGAGCCACCCAGGTGCCCCTGATTATTCATTTAAAAAAAAAAAAAAACCTTTCTATTTATTAATTTGAGAGTGAGAGAGAGGGCACAAGTGTCAGGCGAGGAGCAGAAGGAGAGGGAGAGGCAGACTCCACACTGAGCAGGGACCCCGACCCTAGGATGGTGATCTGAGCCGAAGGCAGACACTTAACCAACTAAGCCACCCAGGCACCCCCCGATTTTTCATATTTTTAGTACAGGTAAGACCCAAGCATGTTAGGAAGATGAAAAGAGTCTATAAGAAGGGAGGACCTGAAGAAGCAAAGCCCTGTCCTCTAGAAAGCAGGAAAATCTGGCCACCCACAAGCTCAGCCTCAGGTCTGTGCCCTTGTTCTTCCAGGAAAGAAGTACAAATCCAGGCCTGAGATGAGAACCCGGCTAGCTGGGTTGGAGAGGGAAGCCGAGGAAGTCTATGCACATCACCTCTGAGACAGGGGCATGGAGGTTGGAGTTTGGAACCGCGGGCCCCTGCAGGATGACTGGCAAGGATGGTCAAGGAATGCGTTTCATTCTTGTGCTTAAATTTCTACAGGCATGTCTTATACAGAATCATCATTATTTAAAAAGTAACTGAAGTCATGCCCAGAAAGGGTTAAAACTGTTTTGTTCTAAGTTCTTGCCTGGGCCCCACCTCCACTGTTTGCCAGTGTCCTTTACCCATGGACAGGCCAGTGCTGGTCCCCCCCAGAACAACACATGCTGTGCTCTCCCTGCGAGTGCACTTTGTGATGAACTTTGAGCCACACATCTGCTGCGGAGAAGGAACTTGTATTCCCAAATGGCTGACATTCGCTGAGGATCCTGGGTTCATCTCTACCCTAGCGTATTTTTATTAGATTGGCTGCCGGAGAATCAGAGGGATAAATTTAGCTGCTGTGTCTAGACCTCATTACAATGCATGCCCAACTAGTGTTCTTTTCATCAGCTTGGTGTTATTCTGGCTTTGATTCTGCGAAGTGAATATTTGGATTGAAACCGGTGTCCATCCTCACTTACCCTCCAAGCCATTGCTGGATCTGGGCTAAGGATGTATTTTCACAATGTCACTACTCCAAGCCTCTCTCTTTGATTTAAAGCAGGGGTTGGCAAACATCGTGTGTAAAGGCCCAGAAAGTAAATATTTTAGGCTTTGTGGGACTAACAGTCTCTGTTGCAACTACTCAGCACTCTCATTGCCACATGAAAGCAGTCAGAGAAGATGCTTACGTGAATAAGCCTAGTTGTGTTCCAATAAAACTTTATTTACAAAGAAAGTGGGTTGGACTTAGCCCGTGGGCTATACTTTGCCCATCCTGGTTGAAAGTATGGATTGGCAAGAAGACAGCAAGTGAATGGACAGATAAAAACCAGTATCTTTTTATTTCTTCTCACACACACACACACAAAAAAAGTTGAGGGAAACAGTAGAATTTAATTCAGGGAAGAGGGGGTTAAGTGGCTAAAAATTGGAGGGTGAATGTGTCACTTATCCGCAAACACAGCCTCTTCTTCAGAGACTGCTTTACCCAGACATTGAGTTGATTATAAGAGATGTAAAGTAAAAACAAATTTGCTGACCTTCATTTCAGAGATCAAAGGTTAAATTCATACCCCGTAGGATGGTTCTGTTAAATCACTCCCAAGCTGCCTGGTGACATATTTTCAGAAAATATTTCTCTCCAGCTTTATCAAGTGTTCTTTGTGTTCTGGAAACATGATTTGAAGTCCCAGCTGGAGCCAGGATGTCATGAGTCCTAACTGAAATTCTCCAGCTACATTAAATAATATGGTTATTCTTTAAGAATAACCATATTATTGGTATATGGTTAGTTGGGATAGACATTTGCTGCCAGGGGTTAATACCTCTGAGTCTAGATATTCATCAAAGATTGAAATTATCATTTTACACTGAATAACCAAGGATGATATACAACATGAAGAGATAAAGAGCGAAAATTGTCCACTAGGATGTCCTGGAAATGGGGCTGAATAACCCATCTTAGCTTAGAATGTCCATCAGGGGCTGTTCCTGATATCTTCACCTCGGAGCAGAGTCCCAACAGTTAAAAAATTAGGGAAACTGCACAAGTTGTTAAAAACAAAGCAAACTTCCTGTCTCTTTAATCGTAAACTCACGCAAAACCTTTCAACAGCAATGGCTCACAAAATTCATTCCGTGACAAAGTTCCGTCAGTCCAGAGTGAAGTGAAGAATTAGGACACTGGCTTGAGTGTTTTACAGAGCTTCACACATTTCATTTAAAGGGCCTTCCTCCAGGCTATTCCCATGTTAATTAATCAAATTCAATTAACTTTAATTAAATAATTATTTACTTAGTAAAATAATGTCAACAGCCCTGTGTTGGTCCCTCGTTGTTTTAAGCCCCAATTGCTATGGACTGAGTTGGGTCGCCTCCAAACATTTGTGTGATGGTTCTTAAAGATATTAGGTCTTTGTCGTTTTTTTTCTTTTTAAGATTTTTTTTTTTTTATCTATTTAGAGACAGAGGGTGCATGCCAGAAGAGGGGCATAGGGAGATAGAGAGAGAGAAAATCCTCAAGCAGATTCCACACTGAACATGGAGCTCAACATGGGCTTCAATCTCATGACTCTGAGATCATGACATAAATTAGAATTTAGAACTGGCCACTTAATGGAGGGAGCCACCCAGATGCCCCCCAGATATTAAGTGTTTGGGAGGCAACTGGAGTTAAATGGGTTCATGGCAGGTGGGAGACCTCACTATGGCATCCATGGTCCTATACGAAGAGGAGGAAAGAGAAAGCACAGAGCAAGAAGGTGGCATCGGTAAGCCAAGAAGAAGGTCCTTATCGGGAACCAGACTAGCCAGGATCTTGATCTTGGATTTCCCAGAACAGTGAGAAATTAATGTGTGTTGTCTCAACCTCCCGGCCCATGCTACTTTGTTATGGCAACCCAAGCTGACTAATACAACAATTCTATTATTTAATGAGTAGGGAAGTGAGAAGATAGAGGGTGTTAATGAAACTGAAATTTCTAGCACTTGCTGGCTCAATAGAGAGTAACCAACCTGGATTTTCTTCACCACAGAGTTCAGAAGGTAGGTCATCACTGGCTGACCTCTAAGAATCTAGAATGTATGAATTAAGCTAAGTAACCTTTTGTCTTTTGGGAACGTGTGTGTCCACTCAGGAAGATGTCACCTCCTTGATGTAGTGGGAGACGGCTATCGGGATACCTGCTTTGTTGGGAGAAAACACTAAGAACTGATTTTTCCTGCTAGGGGAGAGGTGAAAATTAAACCCAAGTGTCTTCACTGATGGTGGCCCACGCCCACACCACACACTTCCTACTGTCTGGTGAGGCAAGTCAGTGACAACTGAGCAATTGAAGCTTCCAGTAAGACACCCATCAGGTGACTTTGGATAGGTTCTTTCTCCTCTCCAAGGTTTCTTAATCTATGAATGGGAATAATAGCATGTCCAGTCTTATGGGGGTGCTTGGGGGAATAATAATAATGTATGTAACACATTAACTTAGTTGCAAGCTTAAAGTAAGTGCTCAATAAACGTTTCGTGCTATTATTTGGATTGTATGTTAAAAAGAGACAAAAAAATTTATGATTTTCTTCATGAAATTCCTTTCCCAAATTTTGAAGCTAAAATAGGAAATAAAATTGCCTAGATCTTTATCAGTTAAAGCCAGTCAAATGGTTGGAAGCCTTCCATCTGAGACTTTGCTCCTATGTGTGTGTGTGTGTGTATGTGTCGCTGTGTGTGTGTCTAATCACAAAAGGTGCTTTAAAAAAAAGTTAAATTATTCTATTGAGAGGCAGAGAGATATCAGGAGGAATCTCGATCTCCAAATTGTCTCCTGCTTATAAGTCACCACCAGTGAGATCGAGATAAGGAAATCTGGCAAAAAAAGATGACACACCCTAGATTTGGGCCCCCATGCCCCAACCAGTGAGGCTCAGAACCATGTACCAAGGGTTTGCTTGCCTGGGACAGGGAGACCTAAAAGGCCCACCTCTCCTCCAGTGTCTCCCTGGGAGGAGGCAGCCCAGTGCCAACAGGTTGAGCCACACAGATCACCAAGGGAGAGAAATGACACAGGCCACAGCCCAGAGGGCAGGGTGGCCCGGGCAGAAGTCAGGCCTTTCTCTTCTTTACTGATCTCTTCTTTACTGATCACGTGAAATCTCCACCTGGCTCACAACTTGGCAAAACTCTTCCTTCTTGGGACTGAGTGAGAGGTGAGTTCAGGTAAGGGAGAATCTTGTTTCCTTTAAAGTATATATTTTTTGCTTTGGGTGGGAGTGTGGGTTGGTAGGCAGCACAGACCGGTGTGAAAACCGCTGGAAGCAAACACTTTCCCCCTGCCCCACCCCAAAATGGACATTGATATATATGTAAAATGTTGTGTGTAATTTGGGGGAGTAATCAGATCGCCTAGAGCCCATCTATGAACCCCAATTAAGAATCCTTGCCTTGGGGCACCTGGGTGGCTCAGTGAGTTAAGCCTCTGCCTTTGGCTCAGGTCATGATCTCAGGCTCCTGGGATCAAGCCCCACATCAGGCTCTCTGCTCAGCAGAGAGCCTGCTTTCCCCTCTCTCTCTGCCTGCCTACTGTGATCTCTATTTCTGTCAAATAAATAAATAAAATCTTAAAAAAAAAAAAAAAAGAATCCTTGCCTTACAAAAAAAAAAAAAAAAGAAAGAAGAAAGAAAGAAAGAAAGAAAGAAAAGAAAAAAAAAAGGAATCCTTGCCTTACTGTCATTTTAAACAAATATTTAACAAGCACTGAGTGCCAGGCCCTGTGTTAGGCACTTTTATGTGTGTATCCTTAGGTCTGAAAACATTTCTTCCTCGCAGATACTGTTGTCCCATTTCACAGTTAGGAAACCAAAGCTAAGAAACATTAATCGATGTGCCCCGCTCTAGGTTCTGATAGCAGCTCTGGCATGGACTGTTTGTGTGAACTTGGGTCAGATCACCTGTTACAACTCTCATTCTTAGTTTCTACTCTGTTAGCTTGGGTTCCAATGGTATCATTGCTGACTGTGTAGGCTAAATTGTACATATTGACCCAAATGGTTGTGCGGCTTCAGTGAACTCCGGCAGTAAAAATTTTGTGCCGATTCTGGAACACGTTAAACACACAGTAAATCACCATGTTAAACATTAAAATAAAGAACATTTTCCTGGCCGTCGGAATGAGCCGCTGACCTGTGTGTCTGTTAGAGAAAGCTGGACCATGCCAATAAAAACTTCTTTGGATTTAAGGAGCAAACATCAACTCAAAGCAGCTTGGAGTAGGAGGGTTTTTTAGTCAATTTATCTAACAAACGGTGTGCCTACACTCTGCGAAGACATGGGGGCTTCTGGTGACTCAGAACTTCTCATTGCAAGTCATGGTGACTTGGTACAGCTTTGCAAAATAGGTTTCCTGCATGTCCTGGCCTCTGGGAGGAATGAGGGGAGGGACGAATTGATAACGGTCCCTTGCAATTGTATCCCCAGCCTGGAAAAGAAAACTGAAAGTCCTGTCTGCTTAGAAGGCACATATCTCTGTATTCTTTTGTAAAAGGGCAACATGCAAACTCCTGGTTTCACATTGTATCCAAGTCTTTTGGGAAACACGCCCAACAGTGGTTTGTGCCTGTTTGATACTTGTTTTATTTTGTTTGGCAGCAACATGAAGATCGTGTTTCGAATAAAAGCCCAGTTCTGTCCCTTAACACGTTTCATTAAGCATTATATGCTGTTCCTGTCCTCTTTTTCCACGATCACGCCTGGGCATGCATTGCAGACTCCTTTGGTGGGACTAGTTTTGCTCATTTCTACATTTATGGTTTCTTGTAGCCACAAAATAAAGCCAACATTTGACCTGGGTTGAAGAATTTGAGGAAGATCGACACACTGTTTATGTTAAATTGATAAAATTGCTTTTTCTTGATGCCGATGAGAAAAAAAAACCACTGGGAAACCCACAACTGAAATATGTTCCTGGAGAGAACAGGAAGCAGGGCGAGTGGAGGAGACAGCAGAGCCTGGAGTCAGAGCCCAGGCTCTGTCCTTCACAAGCTGTGTGTCCTTGGGCAAGTTGCATAACTTCTCTGGGCCTCAGCCTCCCCTCAGTAATCATACAGGGGTAGGACTGCCTTGAGCTTGAGCTCACAAGTCTGTTTTGAGGACCCGATGAGATCAAGGTGCCATGTCCTCAGAGGCAGATGGCTCCAGACCCTTTGTTCTGACTCTGCCCCCTTCAGTTCCCCACCATCCCGTGGACAGAGTCGGTCCTATTCATCTTCCCAATGGTTCTTGGGTCTGTCTTCAAAGGCAGATGCTCACCTCTGGTGGTCATTGAAAAATGAAATTCATTCCCATATGTTAGCGCCCCATGTTGTCCAGCACTACGCTAGGCTGTGATTTTACTAGAACAAAAACAATGTGATAATAGGCGGTCTTGTAAGTACTTGGATCCGTGATCTCACCTGATTGCTGGATGAACCCCTAACCTATAGACTGTTGTTATTTTCCTGTTTAAGGAATGAAGAACTGAGGCAGAAAGGGGTCAAGTAGCTCATCAGAGCTCAAACAATCTATGAGTGGTGGAATCAGGCTGGGAATCCAAAAGGGAACTAGCACCCCCTCCCTGATTCCCAGTGGGCTTTGAATCTGCTAAGGAAGGTCCTATTTCAAATCCCACTCACGGTAACAGAATGGCACGTCCCAGCCTAGTGCTGTGGGTCAGAGGGATTCGAGAGTGGGCTTGCCAGTTTCTGCCTATTTCCATGAGGAAAGAGGGCTTCAGAGAGAAGCCGAAGTCTTAGGCATAGAGCCTTGCTGACCAGACCACCCTTGTCACCATTCACGTGGGCCTACCCACCCACGACTATAGACATATTCCTACCATAGTTTGTAACAGCCGCGTTGGCCTGGGTAATCAGTGAACTGAAGGAGAGGAATGAGAAAGAAAGAAAAAACCTCAGTTGAGTGGTCAGATGCTCAGTGCTTGATAATACCAACAAACTCTGCGCCATCCAGCTTCCCATCCAGCACGATTTGCTCCAGGCAACTCATGAGAGCCAAGGCGCCAGAGGTCATCTAGCAAATAGATTTTCATTCTCGTGCCAACTCCAATCTATGGAGGGCCCCGCTGGAATATTGGGTTTAGAAGGATCCCGGGCCATCAGAGATTAAAGGAAAGAGTGCCACAATTGATTAGTGATGTCTGCTATGGGCCCAGGAGCAGAGAGCGATGGCAGGCATGCAACACGCGTTAACCAACCAAATCTAATTCAACATGTTTGTTTTACAGAAGAGGAAATGGAACTCTGAAGTGAAAGGCTGAATGCCTCAAACTCACTGATCTGGTTAGTGGCAGGATCCCCTGGCTTCCTGGGCTTTTCTGTAGCACCTCAACTCCTATCAGAGCGGTAATTGCTGACCACAGGACCAGCAGCAAAAAAACCAGCAAGAAAATTACATTATGATTAGTACAGTATTGGTGGTAAGCATATTTCTTATAATTCCCTGAAAGCTGATGACCCACAAAATATAAGTCCAGTCATTGCAATATCTGATTATTCTGTCTCCCTGACACAGCCACAGGATTAGCCAATAACCACCCCGTCCCAGGCAAGTAGCAATTTATTCCAGGCTAGAGGAAAGAAGACAGGTCAAGGTCTTCCTTCTTTTCCTGAAGGGCCAGTGACACACATTTGTTTGCAACATGGTACTGTCTGCCAGTCTGACCCGGGCTTGTCAGTAGAGCCTGACGAAAGAAAATGCATCAGAAGGAAGGAACGATGTCTCCCTGAATAGCCAGCTTGGCCCACAGATCGCTGGCCAGATTGCATCGACCCTAAGCAGTCCCGACGTCTGAGCTAATCAAGATGGGAGTTCTAGGCGACAAGTGAGAACACACAGGTACGGAGGGAGAAAAGAAGGCCCACCAAGTGAGGGGTCTGCATTTGCCAAGGTGTGGTGGTAAAAAGCAGAGCAGCCCTTGGTGGGGAGGGTGGAGTCTGAGGACGCAAGGGGACCAGCCCAGGACAGTCCAATGGACCTCCTGCTCAGCTCAACTCCTCCCCTTCCTAGCTGTGGGATCCCACATGCTGTGCAACCTCCCTGGGCTTCAGAGACCTCATGCCCCCTATATCCATCAGGATGGTATAATTACATCCAGCAGCTGCACACACTGCCTGGAATCAGGTAGGTGTGGGGCACATGGTCAAGTCAAGTAATTAATGAACACACAGCCTTGTTCTTTTGTGTCGGGGACACGGTACCACCAGGAATGAGAGCCTCCGAGTCCCTAGCTCCACTTCCAACCAGCACGCATCCTTGTATCCCCTGCCTCACACCTAGCAAGCCTTAGAGAAACATTTGCAGATGGCATGAATGAGTGAATGAGAAACTCCAAGAACGATTTTACAGGCAGCGTTGGGCCCCTGTTTTCTTATCCATCTAAGGAAGATGTACATCTCCGATCCCTTTCACGAAAATGTTCTTTTGGCCTCTGCCTTTCTCACAGATGCTCAAGGCCACCATGAGCAGGGCCGTGCCCTGCCTGTGACCCTGAAGCCTCAGGGAAGTATAGAGCAGGCAGTGCTCCTTCTCTTTCAAGGCTGTCAACCCCCTCACCTGTGATTCAGGGGCCACCTAGTGGGGCAGGGGGGGCACGTGCTCCTGGAAGTCCCAGCCACCTGGGTGTCCCAGGCACCCTAGACGCCCCAATCTGCAGCCTGTAGGCGGGGCACCAGCTCCTTCAGCAGGAAGGGAATGGGCACATGGGTTTGCTGAGCCACTGGGGAGGGGGACAACTTGGCTCAGGGATAGCTGTGCTTTCCCCGGCTTCCCGTCCCCTAGCAGAGTTTTCCCTCAAAGGGTGGGCTCAGACCCCAGAAAGAGGCAAAGGCACTCAGGAATGGGGACACAACAACATTCACAAGATGAGAGTTCAAAAGAAAAGAGCACAAGCTGGAAGTCATTGATGTGTCTTTAATGCTTCAAATATTCCTGCTTTTGTTTATTTTTTTTAATCTCGACAAGTCACAGACCCTGAATGGTGAATCAGATTTCTGCCCCTTCCCCTGTCCCTTTGGTCCTCCAGCCAGAAGAGGAGTTTTTACTCGGCTTTTTAAAGATAAAACTTCAGAAGGCCCCGGCTCTGTGCCCAGGAGGTAGGGGAGGCAGCCTGGTGCCATAGGGAGGGATGTGGCAAAGGCTGGCTCGTCAGCCCTCCCCTCAAATGAGGTCAGAACTGGGAAGTCGAATAAGGTAGGAAGCGGGCAGGCTAAGCTTGCTGGGAGCTGATAAAAGCAAGTAGCCATGAGACCCCCAAGAAGTTGAGGTGTGGGTTTGCTCTTGACATTATACCAATAAGAAAGCACTATAGGTCTGTAAGCCGAGGATGGATATAGCGCGAATGTTCTTTTTTTTTTTTTTTAATATTTTATTTGTTTATTTGACAGAGATCACAAGTAGGCAGAGAGGCAGGCAGAGAGAGAGAGAGAGAGAGAGGGAAGCAGGCTCCCCGCTGAGCAGAGAGCCCGAAGCAGGGCTCAATCCCAGGACCCTGGGATCATGACCAAAGCCAAAGGCAGAGGCTTTAACCCACTGAGCCACCCAGGCACCCCAACGGGAATGTTCTGATGGCACATACTTCTGGTACCTTCTCCTGAGGTGGATTAGAACAAGACAGGTCAGGGGCAGGCACCCTGACCTACCACCCAATCAAGTTCAGATCCAGAAAAAGCCAAAATGGGGGTAGGTTATCGTTTTTCTAACCTCTATTTTACTCAGATAACAAGAATGTGTTTAGTGCTTTCTGACACCATTTGGTTTACCTGTTCACTTACTCAATAAATAATTGTAAACATCTATTATGTGTTGACCCTTCCGAGAAATACAAGAGGAAGGAATTGATGGTCTCACGAACTTAAGCATATAAAAATGTGCTAAAAAGAAAGAGAAAGTGGGATGCAGTTGATGTCCCAAGGAGCAGGGGAGATTCTGCACGACCCAAGCAATCTGTCTAAGGGCAATCCTTGGGAGCTGGGGCCGTCTGAATAGGGCAGGTGACAGGCAGGTTGGGGCTGGTGCAGAGGGAACATTCAGGCCCAGGGAAGGGAGAGAAGAAGAGTTGAAGAAAGGCACAAGCAAAATGTTTGAAGGCTAGCCGGGACAGGGGACTTGGGCCTGAGAGGAAGGCATTCCAGGACTCTCCTGGAAAGAAAGGGGCGTCCTTGTCCATTTGTGAGACAGAGGGCATCATTCTAAGACTGTGAATCAGGCAGCAATATTCGAAGTGGGTCGGGAAGTTGAGAGTCGAGGAGGGACAGGTCAGCGGAGGCCTCCTCTAGCAAGCCAGAGGTGGAGAGCTAGGACAGTGGTTCCCACTAGCCCTTTCAAGTGTTCCAGGGTCCAGCCAGCTGTGCAAGCAATGCAGAGAGTGAATGGGACCCCCGTGCTCCAAATCTTTGCTGGTGCCAGGAAATGGATACTTTGGGTGCTTAAGAGGAGCCCAGAGAACAGAACAAAACCCCAGGAAAGCATGCTTCCCATCTGCAGCCCTCATCCCCGGCAGCCTGCCCACCATTATGGAAAGGTGGGGGGAGGTTAATGATTGGCAGATCGTCCACGGCCTGGGCTTTGATTATTCATTTTTCTTGGAAATGTCTGAGGTTCCATGATCCCTCTCTAATCCCATATGCCATACTGAGCTTATATCTTTGACAGGCACGGGCCTGGCTGCTTTGGCCAATATCCACTCGAAGAGAGAGGAGCTGCCCCCGGTCCACGTTGAAGGTTACCATTCCCGCCGGGTGGCATCAGTTAGCCCCCAAAGCCCAGCCCTCTGGCACTAATCGCAGCGCAGGAAAGCAAAAGATAGGGTGTCTTATTGTTTCTCTTTCCTGTTTTTTTTTTTTTAATTTGAAATCAATAAGAATTTTTCTCTACCATCAAACTGAATTAAGTTTCTGAGTTTAGAAAAGTCCTAAGAATTTTTATTTTGCTACAAGTTATAAGAATTTTCTACGGAGTGTCTCCACAACATGGGTTTCCCCTCGTGGCCAAGGCCCTCTGTTTTATTTTTCTGGATGGCCTATAATTTATTCTATTATCCTGTACCCAGGATTCCCTGCTCTGAACCAAAGGTTTCTTGGCTTTCTCTATCAAAAACCACTCCTGGAGTAAGGATCGCTTTTCGGCTACTGGAACACAAGATGTTTCTTTGGGTTTTGTTATATTTCTTTTTTTATTAAGCAGGTTGAAACATAAATCACAACTCTTTTTAATATTTTTACCCAACTGATGAAAAAGTGATTTCTGTAAAGTGTAGGAACGCAAGTCCTTCCAGAAGACCTCTAATTCATTCAGTGCCACCCACATCACTCCTGTTCCTGACTGTCCTTAGTGCTGCTGCAATTTGTCATTTCATCCTCATTTGCTAGTCGTCAGGGTGGCGGTGGGTGTGACCTCTCAATTTCACACATCGAGAATGCAGCCCAGTGGGGGCACAGCACAGTGCAGGCCTTTCAAGTGTTCCACAAAGCTTACTTAATAGCCACCCCCAAATGGATGTCTGAGAATCAGTCTGGTTTTCCTCGGGACTGATCTCCTTCTCTCCCACCCATCTCCCTAATCAGGAACCACTCTCATCTCTGTTACAGGAGCCTCCAGGCCTACTGGACCCCCAGAGTGCCCAGAGCACTCTTCTGTCCCCTTAACCCGCCCTTGGAAGTGGCCCACATGCCACACCTTCTCTGCCTGCTTTGTCACCTCATTGGGTACCTGGGAGCACAGCATTCCGGAGGTGGAGTTACTTCCAGATGGAGAAATTGAATTCTAGGAAATGTGTGGTGGACATTCAGGTTTGTTTGCTTGCTGGTCTGTTCTTTTGATCCTCCTTCTCCCTGACTTTCTTTTGGAAAACCACCTTTCTATACATTTCCAGCATTTCCATGGAGGGGTTCATTCCACTCCTATGCTCCAGAGGACAGCAAACGATCTAGGCCTGGCCAGTTCTCTTTCCCTCTTTCAGTAATGGATTCAGGAAGTGCGTGTGTGACTCAAACCAAAGTATCATTCTCAGGATTTGTGCTAGAAGTCTTAAGAAAGAGATACTGTCTTTCTACTGGACTTGAAAGCTGATAGACTGTAAGTATGAAGCATCTGGTGGCCATTCTGTTGCTGGAAGAAGAGAACCTTCTGGAGTATGAAGCCAAGAGAGAAAAGCAGAGATGAAAAGTGGAAAGACATGGATGTCTGATGACTTCATTTAAGCCTACAACCTAGCTGTGCCTGAAGCTTTTCAATGATGTTAGCCAACAAATTCTCTGTCTTGCTTAAGCTGGTTTGAGCAAGGCTACAGCCTTTCCTGCTGATACCTTGGAACTTTGAGCCTGATCTTAATTGAGAGCCTCCTGTTCTTCTCGAGATGCTAACGTCCAGGAATGGATTGATTCCTGCTTCTTTTCCAGTGATTAAGACATGGCATAGATTTTATTGGACTGTACTCACCCTTCCTCTTGTAATGATGTGAGATAATAAAATACTAACGTGATGAGATGAAGTGAGGCCAACGACATAGGTGTTGTTATGCAGCCATTGACTACTAGTGACCTTATGACAGTATTTCAGAAGAAGGATCATCTACTTCAAGACTGTGGTTGACCACAGGTAACTGAAGCCTGGGAAAGCGAAGCTTCAGATGGGGGGGAGGGGCTGTCTACTGTAGGTTTATTGGGGGATGAAGATAATATTAGCCATGAAGCTGGATCACCTGGGTGGCTCAGTTGGTTAAGCAGTCGGCTTTTGATTTAGGCTCAGATCATGATCTCAGGATCATGAGATGGAGCCCCACATTGGGCTTTGTGGTGGGCATAGAATCTGCTTAAGATTCTCTCTTTCCCTCTGCCTCTCCCCCTTTCTAAAAATAAATAAACAAGCCATCAGGCTTTCAAAGTGAAAAAAAAAAAAAAGACATGACATAGAAGAAATACAGCTTTTATCAATAGTGCAATCATTTCCAACCCATCTTCATCAATATCCCCAAGTTCTTCTTTCCCAAATATGACAAGGGAAGGAGCAAGTAGCAGCATTTACCAACGACTTATTTGTGCGAGGACTGATAGGGAACGAAGGTCCCAAATGTGAGGAGCAGCAACATGGGACCTCACTGTTGCACAAAACTGTGCCTGG